CGTAGGTGAAAAATTAAGATGTTTGTACTTTTAGAGGCTAATTTCCTTTGTATTATAGGTTGTTTTTCATAACTGGTGTGTAATTAAATAGCAGAAATGTATATATTTGGCCTTACACATGATTTCGCAAAACAAGCCAATGGCATTTCTTCTGTATATACATACGCTTATGAGAAAATATGAGAAATACATTACAAATTCCCTATGTAAAATAGCTGACCAAAAAGACCAATCCAAGGTCTCTGTGTGGAGGGAGGTGGAATGGCACAGAATCACGTGGCCACCCTACTTCAAAACGTAACCGGTTTCAGTTTAGTATACTTTTGGGTAGTAATAAAAAACTCTTCCTATGAAACTCGAAGAATGAGGTTAATCTGTCCAGCATAATGTGATTTTTCGCTGTTAATGTTGTGAAGTGTTGATTATGCAACAGTGAAGAAGGGGAAAATAGACGAAATCTGTCGTTTACGGCTGTTAATAATTGAACTACGAAATCATAATTTTATAAATGATATCATTCATTCTTGGTATGTTAAGTTTCACCCTTCTTTGATTCACATGTGCGGAATTTATAAGCGTGAATTAGATTTATAATTCCAGCATCTTGCTTCGTGCAATTTTCCTCTAAAATAGCTGGCAGAATGTCTGTCTTTCACCTGCAGCAAACATTACCAATTACATCACAATAAAATTGATATTAAAATATTTATTTGGTGCGTGTGCTTTTATTCCAAACACGCAAATAAATAACCGCTTTCAATTCCATTGAAATTAGATCTATTATCTAAACCTATAATCGGGAACGCCATCTTTCGTGCACGCTTATTCGAGTCGGCCATTGTTTGCCAACTCAAAAATCTTCACAACAGAAACATCCTGGCATGAAAATAAGTTTTTTAACTTGAACCCGGACAGCTTCAAAAAGATGGCAACACTTATACTAGGTTCCTTTGTGGAAGTAGAACTGTAGTTTTGTTACTTTGATTAATAAGGCTAGCGAAAGTTTTCCTTTTGATGCCCTGGTGTAAAGAGGAATGACATTTTTACGAAGATCACATTTTGACTGAATTTTTCATAAGGGTGTTGGTATTTTAATGCACACCCTTGTGAAAATTTCTATTTCGATGAAAATTGGCCAATAATCAAACTGCGGACATCCTTACGCTGAAGGCAATTCTGACTTTTATTTTCCGTCCGTTCACTTCTTCAGTCATTTATTCCCATGCATCTGTATTGCTGAGGCTATACCAACCGTATAACACTGCTGTTTTACTCATGATAACGTAACATGGCTCCATTGCTCTCATGTTCTCGGTACTGAGGCAATGGAATCCGAATTGATCCATTGTCTCATATACTGTCCTTGGTGCAATTATAAGACCTTACATGTTTCACGAATTCTGCTATCAATTTATTATAAAAAAAACTCTGTAACCATATATTACTGCCTAGACCATAGAGTAATTTGTGGTATTTTCACAAACATGTGGTTATATGGCTTTGCAATCTGAACTTCAACATTTATTAAAGTCATCAGTTCTAGAACAAGTTTTGGTCCAATTACCTATTTATATTTATTACACATCTGGGAATTTCAAACTGCTCGAGCCTTTCAAATTTCATGCAAGCTTAATATCATCGCCTATTCAAAAACAGAGGGATGGAAATTCTAAAAAAGATTTTTCTCTTCTTATTTCGTTTTAGTTCTCAAGCTAGCGAAAATCAGTCTGTTTTTATTGATGTGAAATGAAATGGCTCAGTGTATTTCCATAAAACCATGCTTTGTGTCTTTCAAAATGCAAATTTATCAGCCCAAGGGGGTTATTAATTTCGTTTGGGAATTTTGCATCAGTTCACTACAAAAATCGGTTCGCTTTTCAGATTGTTGCCACCAAATATTACAGCCCTGTATTATATTTAAATAAATTAAATAATGAAGAATCTGCATGAATGTATGCATGTTTCTCGCATTGTGAAAAACAACGGCACCTAGAGAATCAAATTTTGAATAACGTAGTCCTCCATTCGAAAATGGGCATCTGAAAGCCCAAATTTAGAATTTGTTTTATTATTTGTTTCATGTTTTGTCAAACGTTAAAGAATTTTTGATTAATGAACTCAATGATTTCAAAGGGAGCAATGGCAACATTGTACAGGAAAATTTTTTTTTTTTTCCTCCAGCACGCGAGACTATGTATCGGAAATTCTAAAGATATGCTCTTTTAAATAATTGTGATATTGCTGTTGAACTGAATTTTGTGGTTTAAATACGAAGAACATGATATTAATAAGGTAACACACAAAAACGTTGAAAAACGAACCTTCGGGCGTAATATAATTAAAAATCAGTATTTTCAGATTTTTTTCTCATTTGAATTCAACACTGATATTTGAAATTGGTCAATTATAAAAATTGATATTGACTTGTATTTCTTGCACATATGCTTCCTAAGTAAAGTTTATCTGCGGCAAACTTAATGTATTATTTTGCATTTCAAGTAATTACACTGTTACATGTCAATGCCAATTATTATGCTATTACATTAACCCATCAAAGACATAGCTAAATTTCATTTATTATATAGAAATAAGTTCTTATCTGTATAATATTTTTCTCAATTACTTATCAAATTGTTGGGAGGGGATACATAAAGAAACCAATTTTTTTGTTTATTACGCAGCTTCTCCCCCCCCCCTCACAGTCTCATCGGCTTTGGATACATTTGCTACAACTATATATCTTATAAGCATTCTCTACTCTTGAGATCCGCATAAGTTCTTGTTGGCCTTTTGTAACCCTTCAGTTTAAAGCATCCATTAGCATTCCCTTCAAGTTTTCTTATTAAGTTTTTCATCAATAAATCGATACGCCAATTTAAAATCTCTGACACTGACACCATTTTGCGTGTTCGATCCATCAAATTACTTTTCTGCGCAACTGGTAATTAGTACTAGCGTAATGACCTCACATTAGACATCAAAATGTTCATTGATTAAAGGTTGCAGCAAAACAGGTTATCAAAATTAAGAAAGATGTAATTTTTGCACTCAAACTCGTTACTTTCTGCAGTATATTTTCCACACTAGGTGATTATATTTAATAAATGGTCTTTCAGAAAATATGATGTACTATTCAAGCAACAGTTGAAAACTGAATCCTGTGAGACACATGTATATGAGAGAAGATATTTAAATTGATGTAAAATCTTCCCAAATCAGAATTTTTAAACGACATTTTGCGTTGAATCACTATAAACCGCTGTATCGCTTTTCATATTGTTGCCACCAATCATTGTTGCCCAGTATTATATTCAAAGAAATTAAATAATGAAGAATCTGCATGAAAATATGCATGTTTCTCGCACTGTGGAAAAACAACGATACGTAGAGCCACCAGATTTTGAATAAAATAGTCCTCCACCAGAATATGGGCATCTGGAAAACCTAATTTTGAATTTCAAGTTTGTTTTATTATCTCTTTTTTTTTTTTTAAATTTTAACGAATTTTTGATTAAGAAACTCAATGATTTCAAAGCGAGAGTGGCAGCACACTTTGGGGAATAAAATATTTTTATCTCCAGCGCACTAGAGTGTCTATAGCATATTCTAAAGATATACTGTTTTTAAATATTTTTAGACTAAAGGGGTGTTAGCCCAAATGCTCTCGAAACGTTTACCTATGTGCTGATGAAAAAAGTGCTCCTTTGGAATGTAATAAAAAATCTGAAAGCTTTCAAACCTTTTTTTAAGTTTTTTTTTTTTTTTCCCTAGAGATATTTACATTAGAATTCAGGTATGGCAGAAACAATTTAACAAAAATACTATAACGTAGGCACTATTACAAAAAATGGATTTGTAAGATCTGTTTGGGGGAAAACGATTTTCGAAATTTGACATGCACTCGATTTTTGTGAAACAGTGAGTAATGGCTTACACTTATTACCAAATTCTCTTCACAATATTATACATAATAATCTTCACATTTTCAGCTTATAAATATGCAAAATAATGTTTATATTTTTATCATATAAAATATACACTTATATTGTTTAGCAAAGTATCAGAAAATGACATGCATAATCGAAGTAATTTGCTAACACCAAATAATGCATATCCGTGGAGTGACGATATTTGCGTTCATTTTTCAAAAATTACTTTTTGTTTTAAAATTCAAAGTTACTTAAAACAGATATAATCTACCATTTAGTAATGCTAAATATTTTACGTTGAATACTTTGAATATGCAGCTCTTTACAGTAAAACGAAATACTTTTAGTATTTTAATTTCAATAGCAAATAGATTCTTAAGCAGAAAACAGAAGCCCACTTTTCAAAAATTCATTGATGGTAATTTGTTTAATTTGCTATATTAAAATGCTATCTCAACCCTAATTAAAAATTCATACAGTTCCTGGTTTATATTTTTAGAGCACAATTAAGGTGTAAACTCATCTGAAAAGAAGTGAATCATTTATTTTAGCCTAGGGAGGGCTATTATATGATTTTCTGATATTTTCTTAGAAGTCCAAAGGGGCCTTTTCCCTGAGGGACTATTGTTTTCGTTTTGAAATCTGCGTCGAATTATTCTGAATGTCCGTTTCACTTTTCAAACTGTTTGCCACCAAATATTATCGCCTTGTATTATATTTGAAGAAATTAAATAATGAAGAATCTGCATGAATGTACGTATGGTTCTCGCATTGTGATAAGACAACGGTACCTAAAACCATCCATTTTTGAATGACGTAATTCTACTTCGAATATGGGCATCTGGAAGCCCAAATCTGAAATTCGGAATTTGTTTTATTATCGATTTCATATTTTTGTAAAACTTTTAACGAATTTTTTATTAACAAACTCAACGATTTAAAGGCGAGCAAATGGGAACGTTGTACAGATAACACATCTTTATCTCCAGCGAGTGAGATTGCATATCGGAAATTCTAAATGTTGTATGATTTTAAATTCACTTAGTGCGAAATCGAGTTATTCTACTACTTGCGCAATTGCTGCAAAGTAAGTTAATAATAATTTATTTCCTAAAGACTATTGATTATATTATCTCCCAAGATTAATTTTAGTAGAATGATCTTAAAAGAGTGAATCCATACTTAGTGAGTTCAATTTCGAAAAATGTTTTAAAGTAACTTGAATGTAAATTGTTAAAAATGTTTAACGGGGAGTCGAATTAAATCATGAATAACAAAATTTCAATTGTAAAAAGAAAGAAATTAAAAGCAAGTAATTAAATGCAAGTAATCATTGCCATTGATCGGAAATTAGTTGACTTTTCAAGGGGAACAAACCAACTCCCGTTCAATGAACAATAATTAAGAAATAAATACGAAGGTGTTTCGTCTTTTACTCGAGCAATAAGGCGATGCCAAACCGGCAATTCAAGCTAGGTCAAACATTTCCGTGAATAGAAGGGACCAAGAACTAAAGAACTCATTCCGATTAAGCATTTTAGCTAATTCAATTTTGAGTGAAAAGCAATTTCTGCAGCTAAATTGACATTGCTCAAGTAATTGTGCCCCGACACCCTCGTGTTTATGCATTTTAATTCAAAACTATTTGTAAAAATTAAACATTGGAAATTGGCATTATGAAATAGAATTCAAAGTAATTGAAATAAATATTAGAAAATTACTAAATATAAGAAAAATAATGCAATCTTTGCAAAAACAAATCAAAAAATAAAAACTAAAAATTAAAAAAAAATTTTTTCCGATCAATGACAATGATTACTTGCATTTAATTACTTGCTTTTAATTTCTTTCTTTTTACAATTGAAATTTTGTTGTTCATAATTTAATTCGAGTCCCCGTTAAACATTTTTAACAATTTACATTCAAGTTAGATTAAAACATTTTTCGAAATTGAACTTACTAAGTATGGATTCACTCTTTTAAGATCATTCTACTAAAATTAATCTTGGGAGATAATATAATCAATATTCTTTAGGAAATTCTAAAGATATGCTCAATTTAAAATTATTTTGCGATATTGCTGTTGAGCTGAATTTTGTAGTTTAAGTGCGGAGAACATAATATTTAATAAATACAAGTAGCAAACAAAATGTTAAAAAAAAAAACTCCCCTTTGGACGTAATTTAAAATCTGAAACCTTTCAGATTTTCATTTTTTATATGAATAATACTTTCCCCCATTTATTCCTTGGGATTTAAATGTTTATTTATAACTTTTAAAAAAAAATTCAGATTTTTGAGATCTTCGAGGGCGAAAAAACTTAGTTTTATATCGCTTGCATCTTAACGCTAAGACGAAATTGAGAATCTTGAACGAGAGTAGGACCTTGACACGTGCGTAGAATAGACAGCCGCAAGGAACATGCCGCTTGTTTTTCATTATTTAGAAAGAACATCAAAATGTAAAATACGTGACAACACTTGAAAATATGTCGCAATCAGTAAAAGCAGCAATGGCAATTCAAAATTCTTCTATAAACGTTTTAGTCTTCTACAAACGTTAGAAACATCTAATTCTTTGTTTTCTATTCATTTTGAGATCGCTCAATGGATCTGTAAACAACTGGCTAGCGTAACGCCCTCAAAAGCATGTGCCGAAGATACTAAAAATGGTTTTATAGCACAGCAAACAGGGAAAGTGCGAACATATTATAGTTTAACGAACCATAACAAGAGTATTTTTAAATAAATTTCCAAAGCGTATAAAGATGCTACCTCGCAAATCTTTGCTTAGAAATTTTTTCGTTTCCTACTCTTTTGTAATGTATACATTGCGTTCAAAAAAGCTGCTACAAGTTTTGTTTTCTTAAATAGTGAATCCATGTCTTTCAGTTAATAGATTTTCCAAAGTCAAGGTAAACTTTAATAAACGCATTTTATTATGTAAACTTTATGTATTTATTTACGAAATTATTTAAAATTATTTTTCCGAGTCAAACAAATAAATAAGTAAAAATCTGAAAGTTTTCAGATATTATAATAAGTCCAAAGGGACCTTTTTTTTAACGTTTTGTATGTTACCTTTACTTATTAAATATCATTTTCTTTGCACTTAAACTATAAAATTTAATTGAACAGCAATATCACAAATGATTTTTTTTTAAAAAAAGCATATCTTTAGAATTTCTGATAAACTGTCTCGCGCGCTGGAGATAAGAATTCCCCCCCCCCGTATAGTGTTGTCATTGCTCGCTTTGAAATCGTTGGATTTGTTAATTAAAAATTCGTTAAAGTGTTACAAAATATGAAATCGATGATAAAACAAATACCTAATTCCAAATTAGGGTTTCCAGATGCCCATACTCGGTGGAGGATTATGTTATTCAAAATTTGATAGTTCTAGCTACCGTTGTTTTATCACAATGCGAGAAACATACATACATTTATGCAGATTCTTCATTATTTAATTTTTTTTAAATATAACGCAGAGCGATAATATTTGGAGGCAAAAATATGAAAAGTGAAATGGACATTTAAGGTTTTCAACGCAAAACGGCAAAACGAAATTTTATAGCCGTTCTGGGCTAACGCACTTTGGACTTAAAAAAAAAAGAAATATTTTCAAAATGTGGTTAATTTTTTTTTTTTTTTTTTTTTTAAATTTAAGCGCTGATTATCCACACGCAGATGATTATTTACTGAAACTACCTGAAAAATAAGATTTCAATTTTATAGCTTATTTCTTAGAAAACTTTTATTAGGACTACATGTGTAGAATCAACATTTAAATAAATAAAGTTTACAACCATCTTTTCGAAAAATCCTATGTTAAGTGCTCATAAAAGTATATTTGAATAATTTGGAAAATTACATAATGTTTACACTGAAAATCTTAAATGAAAACTACAACTCTTTGTTATAAGATCAGGTTCTTAATTCTGCTTTGTAAACTTACCTATAAACCTTTAACCTTTTTGACAATCCTTTTATTAGTTACTTTTATCAAATTATCGCAGGAATTAACCAAAATTTCTCTAAATAAACAGGCAGTAATAACTAAAACATTGAACAAATTGTTTACTCTTTAAACAAAATTTTAAAACTTAATAAAAATTTATGGTTTTTTTTAGGAACTGAAGGCTTAAGCACAAATTTATTAGAAATTGATTATCCTGTATAATTTAACTGTTCTACAAAACTCCTACTTTGAAAGAAAATTTAACTAACTCTCATAAATACTAACACATATCTCACTTAATCTCACTTAAGAGCTCAACAATCTCACTTAAGAGCTCAACAATCTCACTTAAGAGCTCAACAAGCTTTCAAGTGAAGCTTGCTGACAACTAATTCCATATACTAATAACCTTTGAGCAATCTTAGATTATCGTAACTCGTGTGAAAAGAATAGTTGTAATGCAACTGAACAGAGATATTATTGATGGAATAACAGCACCAAGTGGTCACAATACCATATAGAAAGTTTTCAGTACATTGGAAATGTTTCGGAAGGAACTAGGAACTGTTAAAGGAACTATCAAAATTATAAGTTATATTAGGGGCATATGGCCAAACAATGTAGCGCAAGCCTTACATGAAAACAAACTATAGAAATGGAAATTTGAGGCATGTACTTAATTCTCAGTACAGTAAATAAAAACGGGGTTTCAAATAGGCGAAGGAAATTATACTCTTTCTTTGCGAAAGAAAAGAATCAAAAATAGGATTCGCTTCCTTTTAAGATAAGCTAACTCAAATAAAAGAAATGATCAATGAAAACATAAATAAAAATATTGTATTTCTGATAAGAAGTTTCGGAAACCATTCGCAGATTGTTAAAAAAAAATAAATAAATCTCTCTTGTTCCTTGTATGTAGACAAGAGAAGAAAGCAATTTAGTTAACGAGAAACACGGAAGTAGGAAGATCAACGTTTTCTAAATTGATAAAAGTGGTTTTACGATTTTGAGTTGTTCTCAAACTGAGTAAATCATTGACTGATAAAGGCAAAAAAGGCTTTTTAAGGACATCAAAACAAATACGCTGTCAATGGAGTTTGGAACACTAGTGATTGTTTAATGATTATATGTAAGATTATGAAGTTTATTTAACTAAATTTTATGTTTATTCACTGAAAGGTACTACGAGTATAAAGCTATATGCCACCTGAGTGAACAGAATTCATAAAAATTCTATCAATTAAGAAAAAAAAAAGATCTATCAATTAAGAAAATGCTCAAACTGTTTAACAAACATGAAATGATTTGTTTTCGTTTATCTCTACATATAATAAAAGAAAGTATCTGCCTGTGCGTGTGTCTTTCGTTCGTGCTGCGCATAAGCTAATAAACCCAGGGCTACGAAATTTGGTACATAGGTGCATCTAGACAACAGCCAGTACCCACGTAGCGAATTTTTTTTTTCAAAATTCGAATCAGATTTTTTTTAAATTTTATCTTTTTTATGAAATCACATCATTTTGAATAGTTTCATTCTTTCAGAAATGTGGTTTTGGCAATAGTTTTTCATTCAATGCTTTGTATACTGGACTGCTGACTGTTGAAAATATGAGATAAAATGCTGCTTATTTTCTTTTTTGCTTATTTTTAGACACGCACATCGCAATGTTCTTATTCCGACGCGCATGTGTCTCGCAAGACGCCAACAGAAAGAATTTCCTTTCCTCCCTCTCTCTTTTTTATTAGCTACTGGCAAAGAGGTTTGTATATTTTGAATTATGTCATCCACAGTGCACAATTTTGATTGGTTATTGCTTTCTGATGATTGTTTCATTCTTTTAGAAATGTAGTTTTGGCAGCAGTTTTTCATTCATTGCTTTGAATACTCTACTGCTGACTGTTTTCTCTTGAAAATATGAGATTTATTGGTTATTTCATTGTAATTTTTTATATTATGTTTTAATTATATATAATTTTAATTATACAAAAAATTTTGCATGATTTTCTTAGGAAACACAGTTCTTCCTTTTATACCATTTGAATTCTTAAGATTTTACAACGAAAAGTTGGTTAATTTATTTATTAGGGCAATTAATATTTGTATTAAGGGTTATTGCATATTTCATTGTAAGTTTTTTTATTATGTAAAACATTTTTATTGATTTTTTTTTTTTGATAAAGTTGTTCTGCAGAGTAAACTTCTTTGCAGGTTTTAAATTTAATATTTGCTATTCCCTTTGGGCATTTTTACAGTACATTTAAAAGCCAGAAGTAGGCTGGGCACGTAGCGATTAGTTAAATATATATTATTATTAACGCCGCCATTTTGAAAGTCATTTTTTAAAGTTAAATATATATTATTACTAACGCCGCCATCACCTTTCCCCATGGTAATAATTTTTACAACTCCACCCACGCTTGACACCCCCGCACATAAAGTTTAACAGAATAGGATTTTTTTAAACACATGTTTAAATACTTAGTTCTGCTTTTGGACACTTTGAACCCTATCGCATACTTCTTCCAAGAACTACCATTTTCTTCTTCTCCAGAGCTACTATGAATTCTACAAGAAACACAGTTTATTAATTTGAAGAGTTAAGTAAATTTTCCTTTGAAGATCGTCATATGATTTCAGTAAGTTTGCCAAAACTTAGTTTTTTAGTTCTGAGTTTCACTTTTCATAGTTTTTCAGTTTTTGCCGAAGTAGCCTCAGCTTTGATTTTATTATTTAAGGCTATCTCTATGAAATGTTTTCGTTTTCTCGGATTTAAAAGTTTAGTTAAGCATAATCGGGAACCGCCCATTTTTAGAATATTGTTTAAATGACTATTTGGTTTAAAGCATATTTGTACTGCGATCTATATTTATAATTGATTTTGAATTTGCATATAATGTTTTTAGACCACTTTGGGTTTTTTTTGAATTGTCATTTTATATAACGTAAAGTTTTATGTTTTGTTAGTTTGTTTTTATTTGTGTGTGTGTGCAGTCAATTTGAAGCAATGTTATGTTTTATTCTGTTTTGCAAGTGTTTCGAAAGTGTGTAGGGAAAATCTTGGTACATTTGAGATTCACTTTTTCTGTTTTTGGTCTCAAACGAACCGGGAAAACGAAACACGTTTTCCAAGCATATTAATCAACTTTTCTGAAGCTTTAATTCATTTTCCCCTGATGAGTTCTGAATTGGAGTTTTTGTAAAAGGAGATTAACTTTTATATTTTTATTTCTTGTACAGTTTTCCCTTTGGCATTTTAGTTTTCGAGGTTGTACTACTATGATCCTTTTTTTAATTTTGAATTATTTATACACTGTGTTAAACTTCTTATGCAAGGATGCAATTATTAATATTGTGGAGGAACTACCTTGCTTTGACTTAAATTTACTTTTAACTTTAGATACTTTAAGTTTATTACAAGCTTATTTATTTTAGTTTGATTTCAAAATACAAATTTCTTTTAAGATATAAATATCAGTGACCGTTAAAACATTAAAAACTCTTAATAGTTTGGATATTACTACTTCATTAAATGCAATACTCATAATGAACAGCATGAGTTTGCTCATTTTGATGCATTTTTATGATAATTTTTCTAAGGAAACAAATTTATCTCCTTTCTCTTACTTCTAGAAATGGTTATTTCTAATACACACGGTATTTACAAAAAATTAATTTTCCTACAGAATGTACAGAAAACATTGATAACAATAACTAAAGCTCAATGGTTCATTAGAAACTGAAAATCTCTAATTTATCCTAAAATTTACTGTTTTAACCGTTTTACTGTATTAACCGTTACTGTATTAACCGTGTTCCTCTAGTACCAACTGACTTCTAAAGCGAACAGATGGATTTTAAAGTTTAAAAAAAAATTGTGAAATGCTTTCATATGTTTCATTTCTCCAAAGGGGCGTTTTTTTAACGTTTTGTATGTTATCTTTATTTATTAAATATCATGTTCTTCGCATTTAAACCATAAAATTCAGTTCAACAGCAATATCGCAAAATAGTTTTAAAAGGAGAGTATCTTTAGAATTTCCGATACACAATTTCGCGCACTGGAGATAATCCCCCCCCCGTACACTGTTGCCATTGCTCGCTTTGAAATCGTCGAGTTTCTTAATCAAAAACTCATAAATGCTTTACAAAATATAAAGTAAGATAGTATAAACAAATTCCAGATTCCAAATTTGGGCTTCCAGATGCTCATATTCGGGTGGAGACGTACGTTATTCAAAATTGGATGGCTCTAGGAACCGTTGTTTTATCACAATGCGAGAAAAATACATACACTTATGCAGATTATTCATTATTTATTTTTTTTAAATATAATATAGGGAGATAATATTTGGTGGCAACGATTTGGAAAGCGATTTACCGTTTATAGTGAATCAACGCAGAATGCCAAAACAAAGTTAATAGCATTTATTGCAAATTGCCCCTGTGGGCTAAAAATGGGAACAATTATGACCTTGCAAAATGATTAACAACAGAAATTTGCGTTTCCAGTGTAAGTAACTTACACTAAAACTATACCCGAAAAATTTTTATTCTTGAAATCTATTATTTTTGGCGCATTAATTACCGTTAAGAGGAACATAATAGAAGGCGTTTTTTCATATTTTTTTTAAAACCACCTATGTATTAGTTTGAGGAAACTGTTTTTTTTTTTTTTTTGTCCGCCAGCCCTATTGCTGAGTTTTGCAATCAATAATAATATAAAATAAGCAAAGAAAAAAAAATCGAAGTAAATGTGCCACTCAATCCCGAAAGCTACTAAGCGATTTTGGTGATGCTCAGTTCAGGTCAGATGACCCATTGTTACCTCAATAGGTTTCCGGTCTAAATGGGTAAAAAAAGGACCGTGGGCCGATTGTGGATTCTCTCCAAAAAGGCTCGTGGGATAGTAGCTTACTCATTATTGTGTTAGCAGAGCAGTCACGTTGGCTCTAACAGTTGGCGACGTTGGAAGTCATGATAGGTTCCTATTATAGCAGCAATACGTTTTCTCTTTCATAAGATAATGATTTGTGTTTGAAGCTCGAGACACTTCAATAAAGTTCACGAGGATGAGAAAAATTCCTGTTTGTTTCACTTTCAGTCATTTGCAAAATCATGTTATAGAAATGAAAAAGATTACCATTTCCAATAATGTAATTAAGGTTGAATTTAAAAAAAAATCTGAGTATGATATGATGAAATTTAAGGTATGAGGAAATACAGGATGAGATGATATCTCATCATATCTTAACATAAAGCTTTTACAGTAACGTTAGATTTTTATTAGCCCAAAGGGGCAATTTACCCATAAGGGCTATTAATTTCATTTTGGCATTTGTTGTTATTGCCACCAAATATTAGAGCCCTGCATTATATTTAAAAAAATTAAATAATGAAGAATCTGTATGAATGCATGTACAGGGGTTGGACAAAAATATGGAAACACCTTTAAAAAAACATGTTTCTTTGCTTAATATGGTTTAGGAAACCCGTTGGCACCCAAAACAGCTTGCAGTCTTCTCGGAATGGATAAATACAGTTCCTGTATGTTTGCCAAGGGAATATTATACCATTCTTCCTGCAAAACGGTGGCAAGTTCAGATAACGATGTTGGCGGTGGATAACGAGAACGCACTTTCCGTTCCAATGTAGACCACAAAGGTTCGATAATATTCAGGTCTGGTGACTGTGGTGGACAGGGAAGATGTGACAACTCATCCTCGTGCTCAGAAAACCAGTCCTGGGCAATGTGAGCTTTGTGAACAGGGGCTTTGTCATCTTGGAAGACACCATCACCATCGGAGAACAAAGTTTGTACCATGGGATGAACTTGATCGGCCAAAATGTTCACATAAGTCTTGGCAGTCATGTACCCTCACACAGTTATCATGGGGCTAGCAGAAAACCACGATATGGCTGCCCAAACCATAACAGAACCCCCGCCATGTTTCACTCTTGGCAACAAGCAGTCTGTATTATATACTTGAGATGGCGTTCTCCAGACGTAAACTCGGCCAGAAGTGGGAAACAATGTGAAAGAAGACTCGTCAGACCATATTACTCGCTTCCACTGCTCTATAGTCCAGGCTTTATGACTTAAACACCACCTTTTCCTGTTACGGGCATTAGCATCACTGATGAGTGGCTTCTCAATTGCAGCACGGCCAGCAATTCCCTGTTTATGAAGCTCCCTTCTAATTGTTTTGGTACTCACAGGGTTCGGTAACACAACATTCATTTCAGCAGTAACATTTGCAGCTGTGGTCTTAACATTAAACACCTCGGCTACCTTGCTTACGGAAGCACCTACCATACGTGCTCCAACAATTTGCCCACGTTCGAAGTCTGTTAACTCTGACATAATGCAATGACAACCTCACATAACAGTACTCCGACAACAACTGAACTGTTTAGCACATTTACGAAGTTGTATAGGTGGCGTCAGTAGTCAAAAACGCCAGCGCCACCTACATATTTCATTAAAATCAATCTTTCTTTTCAAACATGCATTTCACAAGGTGTTTCCATATTTTTGTCCATCCACTGTATGTTTCTTGCACTGTGAAAAACGATGGTGCCTAGAGACATCAGATTTTGAATAACGTAATCCTCCACTCGAATATGGGCATCTGGAAGCCCAAATTTGGAATTTGTTTTATCATCTATTTCATATTTTTTGAAAAATTTAACGAATTTTTGGTTAAAAACCTGTACTGTTCCCCACTGTTTTTGGCTAAAGTAAACGTCGAGGAACTTAGTGAAGTAGTTAGCGGCTTATCGCTGAGTTCAAATATCTAAAGATATATACTCAAGAAGGGTTAACTACGCTTTATTGCCCTCAAAATAAGATTAACATTTGGCCCTTTCCTCGGGCTTACAACAAAGCCTCCACTCTGGCTTAAACTCAGAAATAAAAACTAAACTATAACTAACTAAGAGACTTAGTCATAAGCTAACACAAATATCTAACGTAGTTGGCCCTTAATTTAAACTAGCCGGCAAACATCAAAAGTCACGTAATATTACGACCGAGCGTAACAACTTCAAGAGACTTGGACCGAAGGCAAACACGTGCTTCTCAGGATTTCTAGCTCTCTCTCTTACGAAGTTGAAGCTTCCTTAAGTACTGCTTCTAACTCCTTTGCATTCCACGCGATTCTAAAAATTCATTCTGGTAGGAAGCTGTAAATGGAAACAAGACTTGATAGGAAAGCACTTTGAAATTAAAATTACTGTTATAAAATTAAAATATACCTTACAAACTCAACGATTTCAAAGCGAGCAATCGCATCACAGTATGGAGGGGAGGGACTTTTTGATCTCTAGCACTCGAGACTGTATCGGAAATTCTAAAGATATTCTCCTTTTAAATATTTTGGGATATTGCTCTTGAAATGAATTTTATGGTTTAAGGGCAAAGAACATGATATTTAATAAATAAAGGTAACACACAAAACTTTAGCAAAACGTCTCTTTGGGCGTAATATAAAATCCGAATGCTTTCAGATTTTTTACTTTTTCCCCCTGACCAAATGAAATTTACTAATAATATGTAAAAGTTCATGGTTCGGAAGTTTATTTCTTAATTATGGAAGCAACAGAAGGGATACCAATTCAGAAGACAAACAACGAAAATCAGCGTTATATTTACAAAAGTTTTCACAGGACTAGCAAATGTATTTGCGGTTTTGCGGCTGAGGATGGTGGTTCGGTAAAACCATCGAAACTAGTCCTGTGAAAAATTTTGTAAATATAACGCTGATTTTTGTTGTTTGTTTTCTGAATTAGTATTTATTCGGCGTGTTATTGTGTCTTAATAACAGAAGGGATATTACAAAAATATTTTTAAATCTTCATCAGCTGATTCGTTATTATCTGCAAATTTATTTACCTTCACCTGAGATAAAATTTAAGTTGCAGTTATTACAGTAAACTTTTATTCTAAGCTTTCGACAACCGTTTAAAACTAGAAAATTACAACAGAAGGACATATATCCCTTCCTTCCTCTAAAGTATCTGAACAGCATCAATATGCTTTCTTCCTACAGATAAGAAAGAACAGAATTTAAAGCTAAAAACAGATTCTGAAAGAAATAGTAGTATTTCTCTCCTAACTCTGTTTGCTCTCCTATTGTGTTTATTTACTGTCGCTAAGAAACAGTAAAATCTCAAATGCATAACTTTTGCCCAAATTTGGTTTAAGAGAATTCTGCGGTGCTTTTCATACTTTTTAGCTTTGACTCAGAAATTGCAACATTGTATAATATTTTGAACTAAAATTCTTGTTTACTTTCAGTAAATCTTGATATATGTCAAACAAAAAGGAATACTATTTATAATAATTTTAAATGTGGATGACATACCATTTGAATCAGAATGATTTACAAATATTATAATACTTTTATATAAAACATTTGCTAACAAGTTATACATCTAAGAAGATTTAGATTAACTAAATGATTTATACCTTAGTAAAATACCAATTGGTTTGAGCAAATTAAATTTCGTAAGAGACAAAATCACTTAGAAAATGATGATTAGTATGGGTGTTGATTAGATGATAATTTATCGATGAATTTATGTGTATCAAATGAATAATAAATATATTTGATATAGTATTTACACTTTATCTCAATATCTATACAATATCACAAGACTTAATTCTGCACAAATCATTAAATTACACAACAATTCACAAATCAATAAATTATTCAAAATCATTAAATTCAGAGCATGAAACATGAAAAATCAATTTTTCTTTCCTCCACTAGATTTCGAATGACGGATTTTTGAAGGGTAAGTTGGACTGGTTAATCATTTCTACTACAAGATTACGCATGGAGAAATACAGTAATTCCTTATATTCTCTTCCATTTAAAAGGTGAGTAGTATGAGGCTCAATTGATTAGATTCAAGTGATGGAGATTTATCATTCACCACATTTTAACTTTGACGTCACTGTAAACTTTTAGTCTTTTCGGAACTGGAAAAGCGAGAAAAATCAACTGTACTTTCGTTGGGACTCGAACCCGAAACTTCCATTTACTAGCTGGATATGTAGTACTTATACTACTAGACTGCATATGGGGAATTTGATATTTCCTTACAATTAACACTAACGTGTAAACATTAAAACGATGATATATCAAAATGAGACATAAATATTTAAACGCCTGGGACGTTAAAAATATACGAAATAAAAATATTTTATTCGCTTTAAATATTAAAAAAAATTAGCTATAGCTTCTGCAAAATCTTAAAAATTTGATGTCAAGGTGAAAAAAAAAAATCATCACAGAATTTAATACTTTATGTCTAATCCTCCTTTCAAACTTTTGTGGCTATTATAGATGAATTTTATTTTCATTCTCAATGAAAAATGAGAAACCTCATAAAGAATCATAATTTGAAAATCTTTTACAGAAACAGAAATTATTAACATTTGTTTTTGAATTTTGTAATAAATCTCTTTTTAGACTCTGTTAGTTATGGCATGTTTTCATCTCTTACAAAACAATGCATTTCTCGAAAATACACATTTTTAATAATATTTAGATGAAAAAAATCGGTTGCTATGGAATTATTATGCTTTTAAACAAATTATTTTAATGTCTTTTCTACCAAGTATAGCATTTAATTCAGTTTAGAGCAGTGAAATATTATAAGACAGGAAATCTAATCAATCTATAACAATTCGCAGCACTAATTTTGAGGCTCTACGGTAGTGTATTAGACTGAATAAATGTTATAGGACTAAATGGAGTTTAATTCATTTCTTCGAATTCGTTCCTTTAAAGAATTTTTAACAATATTGGTTTGTTTTCTTTTAAAACTGAGTCGAATGTTGTAAAATTATCGATGTAATATTTGCAGTATGGAAGCAGGACAGCTCAACTGCAAAACATTACAACTGTACAACATTGATTGAAATAATTATTCAAACACATTTGAGAGTGATGAGTTAAAATAAAACAATTTATTATTATTTTTTTTTTCAAATGAAGTAATGGATTCTTTCGTGACAACTCATTTCATTTCTATTACATTAAAATATCTATATTTTGTGTTTAAATAATCTCTACATTTTTTTCTCCAAAAATATGCTGAAAATTTAGATTATTGAAAAAAGAAATGTTTTAAATGCTTCTGAATTTTATAATTGTATATAGGTATCCTCTGTGTAGATATTCGCAAATAAATATTCTCATTTAAAAACCCCACAATTTGAACATGTTGCAGATCTGACGAGTTTTTAATGCAGACGACCTTTCAGAAATATTTTCAAACTAAACAAAACATCATAATGTCTCTAATTTTAGAGAAATAAGGGCATTCTATTATCTGCACATGCTTTAAAATAAAATTTTTTGCCTTTGTTATAATTTTAAACGTTTAATAAATTGCAATTTAAATAGCCATCAGACATTTCGAAAGATTAAATTTTCATCTGGCCAGTAAGAATTAAAATATACTATTCAGATATTAAAAATAATAATAGCAGAAATAAAATAAACTGAAATAATTTTTTTGTTAAAATATGAATATTTATATATCCAATTACATATCACGCATACAATAGCTTTATGTCTTTTATTAATCAGTTATTTTAAATATGCAATTCAGCAGGTGTCAAGACAATGGGATATAAAATTTCCTATTTTTAGTTTTCACAAACATTCTTTTATAAATTCCTACTCTTAGCTCACACTTTCCCTATATCTTGTTCAAATTTTCAATCGTTAATAAAGTATTTTTTATTCATCCACTCAAGTTCAAATACTTTTTTTTAACCTCGTAGTGGCTGGCTGACACTTGATGTTAATACAGTTTTTTCACATAGTAAATGTTTTTGAAATTTTTAGTTTAAAAAGTTTTTAGTTTAAAATTTTTAGTTTATTTATTTATTTATTTATTTGTTGACTTAAGTAGGAACTCACTTTTTTATTTAATTAATTATTAATTAACTAATTTGCAATCGTTAATAAAATACTTTTTATTCATCCACTCAAGTTCAAATACATTTTTTTAAACTTGTAGTGGATGACACTTGATGGTAATACAGTTTTTTCACATATTAAAATTTTTTTTTTATTTATTTATTTATTTTTTGTATTTTAAAAATTTTTTCTTTGTTGACTTAAGTAGGAATTGACTTTAAAAAAATATATATTACTTTTTGTAGATAAAGTTGATAAAAATTCAAAGTATTTTAACTTAATCATAAAAGTATTTGGATAAATGTAACATAACTTACATAAGTGGTAATATTTACTTAAATTCAGTGCTGCCTGAAATTTAAACATTTAACTTCAGTTATGCAATAATCTTTCCCCTACAAAATCTTTATTTATTGCCTTTATTAATCTCCAAAGGTTTATGACCTCTTAATATTACTTTTTTAGGATAGGTTCAAATACAGACTGTAGAAAGAAATGCTACATATGAAGCATTAAAAATATTAATATAGTGTATATTAAGAATAATTTTTTACAACCTAATGACATTTCATTAAGAGTTAAGCATAATGGCAGAGATTTAAATTAATGCTAAAAAAATCAATCATTAAATTTAATAAAATTTTTCTTACCTGTTTTATCTTCACCTCTGATAAGCAGTAGATTTTTTCTTAATGAAGTTCGACTCCGCCCTACGACTGGAAGTTGACCCCGGCATGCCATTGTCCTTCAAGTCCAAACCACTGACCAACTGAGCGAGCTCCCTCTCTTTTCGATCTTCATCTCGCGATCGCTCTTGACCATCCCCCTCATTGTTGATAGAGTCATTGTTGGCGAAGAACTGAAGGCTGGCTAGACTGTTCGATCGTGAGCGATGTTCTTGTCTTATAGAATAAGAGAAAGCTCTTTCATTCAAATGTCCTTTCTTTTTGTAAATACCTGTATTGAAAGGTGAGCCATCCGGATCTTTGTACTCTCCAGACTCATCTTTATCGTTTGCTAAGTCTGCTGCGTCCACCACATACGTTTTTTCGGGTGGTGAAGGCGAGTGAAATGTTTGAGGCTGATAATAATGTTGTTGCAAAGCTTGGTTAGAAGGTCGACCTCTCACGGGGCCATCTCTAAACGGCATATTCCTGGGGGCAGTTCCATATTGCATAAAGTACTGCTCATACGGAAAAGCTGCAGGCTGGTATGTTGACACTGGACTCAGGGGACGTGTAGATATGTAAATTGGCTCTTCATGCCCTGGTATAGGAAGACGACCATTTTTATGTATCCGACGCTCTGTGTAAAATCCAGAATTGCGATATGGTACCTGAGGGGGTGGCTGAGGAATAGATCCGTAATGTCCCATCACCGAAACTGGTCTCATTCCGTTCACCATTCGCCCCGTCCCATTCATAAATACTTGCTGTTGTTCTTTTTGCTTCTTCTTGCTTTTAGATTTAGAAGGTTTGTTAGCTTTGTTGCTCTTATGCTCTTTTCCATTAAAGAGGCTAGGAGAAGGAGGAGGTGGTGGTCGTGGTATTCCTCCAGCTATTTGACGGATTTTAGCTTGGGCTGATCGTAAAGTTCCACTCGCAGATTTCAAACTGCGCATTGTACCCGTAGCATCCACGTACAGCAGTTCTCTTTCCGTCGGAGCTATACCTGTCCAGATTTTGTAGTTATCATCATCTTGGTTGGCAACATTGTTTCTTGGAGGAGGAGCTGGTTTAATACCGTTCCCTGTATTCTTTGAAATGTTATTGGATGAACTCGTAAGGGCTGATCCTTCACCTTTAGAACGCCATACATCCATTTTTTCCAAAGTATTTAAACCAGATAACGACTGGGACCGTCTATTTTCCATATAATAGGGATTTTCATCCAGCTGTTTAGCTTGCATGCTGTCTGCGTAAGAATGAAAACAGCAGCGAACAAGAGCATTGGCAGCAGCTTCTTTTTTGCATATAAATGCATGACATTCTAGAACTTTAATTCCTGTAGTGCGTCTAAGAATGCAAGCAAATAAAGGAGGATGACTGGGATCCGCATACCTAGCAAACGGGCTGTCTAATGGCAAAAATTTTTCTACTCTTTCCCCATTATTTCCCGGCACCACCACATACCTAATAGCGGCACAATAATGTAAAGTCTCGATGTTAAAAAACCGTGTCACCTGTCTCATAGATTCGTCCACATTCTCTAGCAGGATGCCATTACTCCACACGCTCAACCAGGAATCGATACCTTTAGCTGAAAACGAACCCTGTTCCGGATACAAATCCCGCAGCGGCTCTTGAATCCCTTGTAATCCATCCTTAGTGATGTGCGGGACAGCCGATCCAAGATACAACACGCGGCACCTGCATATAGGGGTAGTCATCGTTGATGGCCGATAGCTGTGTCACACAGTCTGAAATTCAACAACACAATCCATAGAGCAGTAAATGTAATCACAAACACCTTCGTCCTGAAATGCGCAGATCGAACATTCAATACTAATAACCAATATGGCGATAGTAAGGAAGACGTGTCCGCTTCAGCAGTGCGATGTTTCCTGTTCTCACCGTGTTAGTCGTCTGGCTCCCATTGGCGGGCTGTAGGTGGTCGAGCAGGTTACTATCCAATGAGATGCTACCTGCAACTTCGGTAGAAATATGCGCTTCTCAGTTAGTGAAGGTCAGCGCTTTTTTACTTGCCTACCTGTTGCGGATCCAAGGAGACTGCCTCAAACCGGATTTTTCTCCCTTTAAACTCGAACAGAGAGAGAGCCCTTCGCTCCGAGGCAGAACAGGGGATGCGTTTCCGCGAAAAGCTTGGTAATTTTTCGGTACCGTTTTTTGACTCTTGGGGAAAATGGGTTCCACAGGATTAAGCCACGCGTGTAAATGAAACGTCATTTCTTGTTTGAGAATTAGAGGTGAAAGGTAATCTGAAAAAAATGCACTTTTTTTTTTTTTTTTTTTTTTTTTTTTTTTTTTTTTTTTTTTTTTTTTTTTTAGTCCAAAGGGATTTGAATCCCGAAGGACTATTAGTTTCGTTTTGGCATTTTGCGTCAGACTCATAAATGTCGGTTCACTTTTCAAACTGTTGCCACAAAATGTTAGAGTCCTGCATTATATTTGAAGAAATTAAATAATGAAAATCTGCATAAATGTATGTATATTTCTCGTATTGTGATAAAAAACAACGGTACATAGAGTCATCGAATTTTGAATAACGTAATCCTCCACCAACGAATATGAGCATGTGGAAGACCAAATTTGAAATTTGAAATTTGTTTTAATGATCGATTTCCTATTTTTTTAAAAACTTTGAGACGAATTTTTGATTAACAAACTCAAGGATTTCAAAGCGAGCAATGGCAACGTTGTGCAGAAAAAACATTTTTATCTCCAGCGCGTGAGTCTCTGTACCGGAAATTCTAAAGATATGCTCGTTTTAAAACTATTTTGCGATATTGCTGTTGCACTGGATCTTATGGTTTAAGTGCGAGGAACATGATATTTAATAAAGAAAGGTAACACACAAAATGTTAAAAAACGCCCCTTTGGACGTAATTTAAAATCTGAAACATTTCAGATTTCTTTTTTTGTGGTCTTTTAAATTTTTTTTTTTTCCTTCTATATTTTATGTTTAAATCAGAGTTATATCCGTGAAAAAATTCACGTATTATTTGAGTCTGAAAAAGCTTAAACAAATTTGAATTGAATAACATAAATTATTTTCTGTATCCGAAAAATTCGATTTCATGTAATTTCATTCATGAATAATCACAAGGACTCAACTTAATAATGAGATACCTATTAATTTAAAAAACAAAAATTATTTTCTATTTTCGAAAAATTATATTCCATGTAATTTCATTTACGAATAATGGCAACGACTCAATCAATGCGATGCCTATTTCAATTACGTGTATAAAAAAAATTCTAATCTTAGTTGAGAATATGCACAAATATGGGAAAATTATTTTATGAATGTATTAATGGATTTTTCATAGTATATTTACCATACATTAACGCCATACATCCCTTTTTTCCAAAGTAAGAAAACAGAATTAATTTACCATTAATTATGTTTTCTTAACTACTATTTCCTCTGCTAGAGAAATGATAATAGTTAAATATCTGATTCATATGAATTCATGAAGAGCAATTATTTAATTACGAACAACATATCTTAAATTATTAAAAATTTAAAATTTAAAGAATAATTCTTTAAATAATGAGGCGATAATTAGAATAAGCATTCCATTAAATCAGAAAACAGAAATAACGGTTTGAAAAAGAAATGGTATAAAAAATAGTGAGTTTATTAAAAAATTATGTAGTAAAATTTTAAAAAACGTAAAACTTAGAAAGCTGAGAGTGATGTAAATTCTTTCTAAAAAAATGTTGAGAACATGTAGGTATAATTCATGAAATAATTATTCCAAAACTCAGAGAAAATTGTATTCCGTTACATTTATTATCCTAGAGTTTTACAGTTAGTAACTGATAATTGAAGAAAATCCAGAAAACTAACTAATATTTCCTACTTTTGTTTCTTTCAGAAAGAGAGAAAAATATGCCCATTATATATTACAACAGCAAGGGGAAAAACCAAGGAAATCTGAAAGCTTTCAGATTTTACATCACACACGTTTTTTTTTTTTTTTTTAACATTTTGTGTGTTACCTTTATTTATTAAGTGTCAAGTTCTTGGCATTTAAATAAAATAAAAATATCGCTAAATAATTTTTAAATGACCATATCTTCAAAATTTCCGATACGCACTCTCGCGCTGAAGATAATCCACCCCCCCCCCGTATAGTGTTGCTATTGCTCGCTTTGAAATCGCTGAGTTTGTTAATCAAAAATTCGTTAAAGTTTTACAAAATACGGAATAGATAATAATAAAAAAAAAAAATTCTAATTCCAAATCTGGGCTTCCAGATGCCCAGATTCGGGTGGAGGATTATGTTATTCAAAATTTGATGGCTCTAGGTACCGTTGTTTTATGACAATACGAGAAACATACATACATTTATGCAGGTTCTTCATTATTTAATTTACTTAAATACAATACAGGGTTCTTGCATTTGATGGCAAAAATTTGAAAAGTGAACCGACATTTCAACGCAAAATGCCAAAATAATAGTCTTTCTGGGAAAATTGCCCCTTTTGACTAAAAAAGCAGCTATCGAGAAAAAATTTTAATTTATAAACGTATTTGGGTTAACATATTTACATGTAAAATCTAAGCGTTAAACAAACGACGTATTTTTTAAAACTGATGATGCCAAATGCATGTATGAAAAGATAATACATGAAAAATTATATTTTTTAAAAATCTGTGGGTGAGATATTAATTTTTCTCGTATTAGTCATATTTCTAACAACTAGCATATCTTTGTTAGCTCTCTATTTTATAAGCTTCTAGCTGTAAGTACTACCGTGTAAGACAATGAACGAAAATAAGTACATTGTTTTATCAAAACTAATTATAATTTAAAAAGAAAATTAAACTTTGGTCCATCAGTAGTCGAATGGATAAGACCACTAAACTCTTTTAGTTCTACCCAAATTCAAGTCCTAGCAAATGGACTGGCTGGCTGTACCGATGTTTTTACGGCTTTGCTGTTGTGTAAATTAAATGAGGGGCAGTTTCTTTTAGAAAGTCCCGCGTAAAAGATTCTTTCTCTCCTCCTTAGGTAGATAGTTATGATGTGTTTTGAAGCATTGCGCTAAGTAAACAAACCAAGAGGCATATCACAGGTACTCGCTTTCCGTAACAAAGAGGAATAAAATTATTTACCGTTGAATTGTTTTATATGACTGTATTATTATGTAATTTAAAATGAACAAATAATCACACAAATGAGAAAAACTGATTAGGGTATCTATTGCAAATTAATAACTTCTAGTTACATTTTTGAAAGCCAATTGAAATGTTTTCACGATTTAGAAGAAGATAAAGAACTATACGCCGGTTTACTTGATTACGGCAAAGCACACTAGGGTTATCGGCTTAAGGGAAGGGATGATTTGGTGGAGAACTTTCTAAGGAAACCTGAATCTTGTACAAGTTACACATGAGGAGAGCCACGAAAAAGTACATGCAGCTAGCATGTTCGCCTGGAGTAGCATGTTCGCCTGTATATTAAAAATTGAAAGATATAGGAAATAAGACACCAAACTCAATTAAAACAATTTTTAAAAAAATGTTTTAATTAAAATTACAGTTTCCACGCAAAAACAAGCAATTTGGCTAGCGGGCAAGAAGGCAGATTTTTCGGTGCACAAAACTGAAAGTTTACTTTTGGTCTCACTCGCCAAAAAGACACTGAATGCGTAGAAACTGACTGAATGTATTGTGGACGCTATGCTGAGTCAATATATAATTAAGTCGGAACTACCAGTGTTCAGCGATTTTACCGCTCAGCAGCTAGGGGACCCGTAAGTATGAATGCTGTTCCCGAAAGGATAAAACATGAAGATTTATTTACTAAAATTAATTTTGTTCATTTCCTTAAACTTATTATTAATTATTTCAATTGCAAAACTCTTTAAAAAATTAGCTAATTAGACAATATTCAACAATGGCAGTGTAGACAACTATTGTAAATTGAAACATAGAAAAGAAGCAGGGCCGGTGTGAAACCACAACACAAGGATACCTTAAGATCAACTTTGGTTTCGTAGAAAAACCTACCTGCATTTCGATAGGAATTAAGAGGAAGCCCATTATCTCGAAGATGGGTGACAGTGGTTTCACACGCGTAAAGTTTCAATATAAAATTCAAAAAGAATGTAAGTAGTCTTCGAATCTTGATAAATTTCAGAATGTATCAATGATAAAATGATAAAATTTCACAATGTATCAATCTTTTCTATAAAATCAAAAAAAATTTATCTAATTTTGAACTGCAAACTACTTAAAGCGCTTTGTCTATTTTAAATTTTGCTGTATTCTATTTTTTTTTCTTTTTGAAAGCCCAAAAGGGCAGTTTTCCAAGAAGGGCTATTAATTTCGTTTTGGCATTTTACGTTGGTTTACAATAAACGGGGTTTCCATTTTTAAGTCGCTGCGACCAAGAGCCCTGCATTATATTTAAAGAAATTAAATAATGAAGAATCTGCATGAATATGTGTATGTGTCTCGTGCTGTGAAAAAAACAACGGTACCTAGAGACATCCAATTTTGAATAACGTAGTTTTCATAAACAAACTAGACGATTTAAAAGCAAGCAATGGCAACACTATAGCAAAAAAATCTGATTTGTACACCACATGTCTTCCTTGTACGGAATATTAAATTATACGCATTTTTTCTTACATTTCATTTAAACTTATTGGATTGAATTAAATCTACTTCGCCGACAGCGCATAAACCACAATAGAATAAATGCATTCTTTAAAATTCACTCTTATTTGTTTACCATAGCGACACTCTGGCGCTAGGTTCACTTACTCAGAATTATTAACTCAGAATTAAACTCAGACACAGGTTAACTCAGAATGCACAAAATTTATATCATTTAAAGAATTATCAAATCGTTGCCATAGGTTCTATTTATATACTATAATAAAGCTA